AAAAGAAAGAAAGAAAGAAAGAAAGAAAGAAAGAAAGAAAGAAAGAAAGAAAGAAAGAAAGAAAGAAAGAAAGAAAGAAAGAAAGAAAGAAAGAAGAAAGAAAGAAAGAAAGAAAGAAAGAAAGGAAGAAAGGAAGGAAGAAAGGAAGAAAGAAAGGAAGGAAGAAAGAAAGAAAGAAAGAATTCAAACATATGTATTTCCAAGAAAATGTAAAGAAAATAAAAAGAGAAGCCACTGACTGGAATGTAACAGTATACATTATCTGATAAATGTCTATAAAATATTAAATATTGAACTGTTATAACATATTTAGAAAATATTATGAATGGGTATTTCAACTTAAGTAGTTAATGGTTGGGACACTGATAGCCATCATGTACAAGCAAGGAAGAGTCACAGGTGAGACCAACACATCTGGACTTTGTAGAGGTGATGGCTAGAGGAGTATCGTCTGAAAGCCACAACCTCAAGCCTGAAGAGGGAAGACACTGAAACCATTATTGTATCCTTCTTGTCCCACCAATTCAAGCAAATAGTATATACCAGATTAGAAGAGGAAGCCTTCAACCATGGGACTATCTAAATAAATTTAAATAAAACTGAATGAAGTTATAAAGTAGTAGAGAGAGACAGAGATAGATATTTTATTGATTAATGGCCATTAAAATAAAAAAAATCAAGGAAAAATCCATGAAGGACAAATTTTGGGAATGCAAGTAGGACCTATCATGTGCTTTGCCCAGGGCATTGGAATATGGTCATAAGAGTATGGAAGACTGGAGCAAGATCAAGAATTGGCTTTATGAATATGAACTAAGTCCATTCTGGTCTTTGATTTCTTCTTGGAGGTAGAAATCACATGTGAGATAAAAGCCAGGGACTTTGCGGCATGAATTGACCTCTGCTTTGGAGATTGATCTTTGACTCAGAGACTGTGGATAAACGCTATTTTAACCTGCCACATCAAATTTGTCAAGAACAGCATGGGAGGAGGTGGGCAGTAGAAACTATAGAACAGGAAAGAGAAGTGAATTCACTTGTGCATGAAACAAACACTGCAGCAGGCCTAGTTCCCCTATTAAATATCTTCAGGAGCAGCTGAGGCAGTCTCATTGAGAGCATTCGTCAGGTGTTTTGGAGCAGAGTGCATCACTGTGTAAGGTGAAGTATCATTCTGCTGACAGAAATCATATACAGCATCTTCAGATTTTATGGCATTCATTGTCAGGGTAAACTCTGTCCCATACCCATCACCACTGGACCAGCATGGGTCTCTAGAAACAACAGTAGTAGTACATGTAATGATGAGGTTGGCAGTTTCTCCTGGCTTCTGTTGGTACCAATGCATGTCATAATCAATGTCTGTGCTGGCTTTGAAGTGGATGGTGGCTTTGTATCCTGCAGCTGTAAACAGGAAACCTGGAGACAGCATGAGTATTGTTTCTTCTGTCTGATTATGGGTGGAAATAAGGATGACAAGTCAATTGCATGATATTTTCAGAGGATGAAGAATATCAATCCCTTTTGAAAATGTACTATTTGGTGAAGATTCTGAGCACTTAATTCCATAAAGAAGAGAAACTGTTTCTCTTATGAAACATCTAGAGGAGAAAGGCTGAGAATCTGAGCCTGTGACTACATCACCTTGGACTTGAACTTCATGTGCAAGTTAACTTTTCAATTAGCTCAGCAGCATGTTTTATATGCCTTCATAGATTTCATTACATACAGGAGAATATGCAAATATCATGGTACATGGTATAGCATATGAAGGAAGTGTTGACATGGCATATCATGCATAAGTGTTGATATCATGCATAAGCTTAAAATGTTTCATTCCCATTCAAAGAGGCCTTGGACTATTCCTATGTTTATGTTTATTTTTAATGTTACTGTCAAGGTGATGTACAGATGGGAAACAGTTACATAAGTAAGGTGGTGAGTACATTTCTTGTCTAAATTGTTACCCCTAAGTAACTTTTTTGAATATTTTTGTTTTCTGGTAAATAGTTATACAAGGGAGTTGCCATTCAATACAAGTTTATAAGCACAGTGCCTCTTAATCAATGTTGCCCCTTTTAACATTCTTACCTACCCCTCCCACCCTAACTCTTCCCTTACTTTTCATTCTATAGAGTATATTGGATTGTTTTGCCATTTAACAAAGCAGTTTATGTTTACAATGAATCTCAATCTATGTCATCCCTTCAACATCTTCACCCACTTTGACCTACCCTTTCCCCGATTTTTTCTTGATGCAGTCTTGCCTGCATTCTATTCTCTTGCCTATCATTCTTCTACATTTTATTTCGCCCCTTCCTCTTTCAAATACCCATTTCCTGGTGCTTTTGATGGGGATAGAATTCCTATCTGTAAGAGGCGAATTGTATAGTTCAATATCTGACAACCTGCATTGATACCTATAGAAATGTAATATGCACAGCAGATTAGAGCTTATACTAAAATATTAAATTACAGTGCATGCATCTTCTCTTTGTCTACCAATACAAATGTATTAGAATATGGACAGGCATTACTAACATTTCAATGTACCTTTTTCACAAAGTCTGTGTAAGAAGGATTTTTTCTCAGTGGACCTCTGTGTATCTATGCTAATAGCTAGAACACCTCAAATGTCAGTGACCTGGGGGAAGTGTTTAGATCACTGAAGGTGCTGCCTTTGGGAGGGTTAAAGTAGTAAGTCAGATCTCTTAAGAGTCAATTGCTATGATGTGAAGAGAACCAAATATTCAGCCTCTTCAACATGTGGCTTTCTAATAACACACCATGTCCTGATACAGACAAGACAGCTCTCACCTGAGAACAGACAAGTAAGGACACTGCACCTAGGACTTTCTAAATCTAAAAGTGTGGATTAAACAAAACTGTTCTTTGTGCAGTGCTCAGGTACTTTGTTTTAACAACTGGGAATTAGCTAATGAAGGTATGTGCATGTGTGTGTGCATATGCATGTATATGCAGATGCACATCTATGTATGTTTAACATGTGTGTTAAATAGACATGTTTTTAAATGGGGCTAATAGAGATGTAAGGAGAATCACTTACCCTTGATACTCATCCTGTAAACACAGCTGATTTTTTTCTGCTAGTCCTCATGCTGGAATGCAGGGCCTAGGCACTTTGCTTGCACTATGTGTACTCAAGACTAGTGCTCTACCACTTGAGTCAGAACTCTACTTCCAGATCTTTTTGGTTAATTAGAAACAAGAGTTTTCCTTTCCTGTCTGGGCTGGCTTTGAACCACAATCTTCAAATCTCAGTCTCCTGAGTAGCTGTAGTTACAGTTGTGCGCCCTGGCTTGATCAAGGCTTCTTAGACCTAACGAGGAAAACACTTGTTATCTTGCTGAACTGAATATTCACATTCAGTAGATCTGAGATGGTTTATAATTTTGCCTTTGTCAAATGGTCTTCATGATGTTGATGATGTTGAATTCTGTACAAACTCTGAAGAGAAAGAAATAATATTACATCCCTACTTAGTTGAGTTTGCTTTTCATATTGCTAAGAAAGAATTTGGTTTGTTTGTGAAGAGATTCTTACATATTTCATGCAAAAATTTCATTTTCCATTGACCTGTGACTTAATGAAATTTTCTTGCTTTACTTGCTATATGCTGATGATACTTAGAATCAGTGAGGAAATGTTCTTGGCTAAGGAAATCCTGATCAAATCCTTGAGTTTTGGGTCATATGACAACAAAGGATGGCCAGCTCTCAAGTTCTATCAAGTTTCTACAGGAAGTGTATTTCCCAGAACCCTTTTCCCTCTCTGGTTGCCTGTGCATACTAAATGAGGCTTCAGATAGGATTGTAAGCCCTAAGATGACTCAGTCATATCCATCCACAGAGATACAGGAGGAAAGAGTTGAGAGCTGTAGGCAACTGAGGACTTCATACATTTTTACATATTTTATATGCATAAGATATGTTTTATATTTTTATTGTACAAATACAGTACGGAGGGTTACAGTTACATGAATAAGGTAATGAGTACATTTCCTATCCAGCATTGTTACCTCCTCCTTTGTTTGCTCCTACCATCCTTTCCCTCCCCACCTCCCCAGCTCCTCCCTCTCACCCCCCAAATTGTTCACTTTCAACATAGTGTCTTGCACATCTGATTGTTATAATGGGTCAACCTGTATATTATATGTTTTTATATATTTTATATGTCTATGATTTTTCTGTTAACATATTAATGTGTATATCTGACTATCAGAAAATTCATATATGTAAGCCCATTTCTAATTCCTCTGATATTTATTGATGTTCATGTGTCAGTTGTAAATTAATTGTTTTTCTCCAGAAGGTTCTTGGGTAGACTCAACTGCAGTACTTTTATTTATATAATCTCATATTTGTCTCTGTATTCTATCAATTCATAATTATTTTACAAATACTTTAGTTATGTAATCAGTTCTCATAAAAATTCATCTTCTTTGTGTATTCATATTTCATATAAAACCAGTCATCATTTCAACAATAATAAAGAGTAACAAACTCCTCTAAATCTAGGGGCTCTTAACACAAATCATTTATGTTAGTGCAAAGAAAATTCACAATTGCACTAATGTGCCCAATCCAGGAAGGGCTCAGCTTCTTCATTTTGTTGCAGGTCCCTGGTCTTGTCTCCATTATGTGGATTTGTTTGATCTGGAATAGAGACATAAGAGGAAATGACCACTTAGGATTATATACATTCTGTTGTGGTCAAGCTATTGTCACAAATTTATGGCCAAATATATCTATAACAGGACCATGAATTTTAAAATATTTGTTCTCAGGCTGAGAACGAGGCTCAGTGGTAGAGTGCTTGCCTTGCATGCTCAAGGCCCTGGGTTCGATTCCTCAGCACCACATAAGCAAAAAGGAAAGAGCCGGAAGTGGCACTGTGGCTCAAGTGGTAGAGTGCAACCATTGAGCTGAAGAGCTAAGGGACAGCGCCCAGGCCCAGAGTTCATGCCCCATGACCGGACCCAAAAAAAAATGAAATAAAATATTTGTCCTTATAGCTTATCAAATTACTAATAAACATTTATTCCATTACACTTTCAAAGGACTGGATCATATAACTGATAAATGATCATGAATTTGCAGTTTGGTATCTAATAACAAAAATTAGTTATTGTTAAATAGACAAAGATGTAGTTGTGTTGCTCACTGCTGAATCACAAGTGGGTCAAGGAAGAGATTAGAAAGGAAATTCAATGTTCATGCTATTCAACAAAAATGAGCACACAAATTACTAGCTCCTCTGGGACACAGCAAAGGCAGTACTCACAGCCAAGTTTATAGCTCTGAGTTCATACATCAACAAATTGCAGAGATCTGAAACCAACAATTTAATGAGACATCTGAACCTCCTTGAAAAAGAGCAGCAAGATAAACCCCAATCCAGTAGAAAGAAAGAAATAATTAAAATTAATCAGAATTAAATGAATTAGAATCCAAAAAAACTATAGAAAGAATCAGCAAAACTAAGAGTTGGTTCTTTAAAAAAATTAGCCAAATTGACAGATCCTTAGCAAATCTTATCAGAAAAAGAAGAGAACACACACAAATAAATAGACTCAGAGATGAGCATGGAAACATCACCACAGAAACAACCAAGGTTCAGAACATTATAAAGGAATATTTCTCAAAACTTTATGCGAATAAGTTTGAGAACTTAGCAGAAACGGACCTTTTCCTAGAAAAACTGACATGCCAAAACTAAACCAAGATGAGTTAAACCATGTTAACAGACCTCCCATCTAAGAAAAGTCCAGGATCAGATGGTTTTACAGCGGAATTCTACAAGGCCCTCATAGCAGAACTCACACCAATACTCCTCCAACTATTCAATGAAATTGAAAGAGAAAGTTTACTACCAAACAAATTCTATGAAGCCATCATAACCCTTATCCCAAAATCAGGCAGGGACTCCACAAAGAAAGAGAACTAGAGACCCATTTCTTAGATGGACATTGATGCAAAACTTCTCAACAAAATTTTGGCCAATCGACTTCAACAATTCATCGAAAAAATCATACATCATGATCAAACAGGATTCATTTCAGGGATGCAAAGCTGCTTCAATATACACAAATCAAGCAATATTATTCATCACATCAACAGGAACAAGGATAAGAACCACATTGTTATCTCAATAGATGCAGAAAAAGCATTTGACAAGATCCAACACCCCTTCATGATGAAGGTTTTGGAAAAATTAGGAATCCATGGAACATTCCTCAATACAATAAAGGCTGTA